GCCTCGTGCCAAGTTGGCTGTCACTGGCGTTTGTTTCCTTGAATATTTTTTTTTTTAAAGAAGCCTAAATCAGGGGCTTTCACGTGAAACTCTCCTGTGGGCATTTGAGTTTTCCATCCTTCGACTGGCTGATCTTTTAAATTCCTTCCAGTTCTTTGCTTTGTTCATACTTTCATCAACAAACATTAATTGAGCACCTACTGTGTAGTGAGCCACGCTGTGGGTCTGAATGCTCAGCCTCATAACAGAGAACATAGGCTCCAAGGACTATATATATATCATTGACCACAGGATGTGGCCCAGGATCTGAGTGGACAGGAGGGCATATCTGGCCTGCTTTCAGTTTCTCCAGGGCTGGTTCCCACCTCCAGCCTCATACTTGCTGTTCCCTCTGCCTGGACAGCTCTTTCCGCTGATTAACTCTCACCTTTCCTGTCCCGGTACAAATAGCCCAGCCTCAAAGAGGCCTCCCTGATACACGCACAACTTTTCTCCGCCTCAGCTACGGATGTGCTGCCCTCCACCACTGTGACTGTCAGGAATACTGTTCCTGTCCCCTCCTCTGAATTCTGTTCCTGTCCCCTTCTCTGCCACTAGGATAAGCAGTCAGAGGAAGGACAGTTGCAGGGGAGGGTTGTACTGGAAATTTTATCAATACTGTTTCTGAAGCATGTCTGAAAGCTTAGAAGGGAGAACACGGCGTTCATTCAGGGTCCTTCCAGGACTCAGGGCTGGAGAGGAAACCAGGTCTATACAGATTGGCAGCTTGGCAGCTCAAGAATCACCCTTCACAGACCGGGGGCTGGTCCCACTCAGGACACAGACACCAACCACGGAATGTGGCTACACATGGGGACTCTGGTTTCAAATGGCAGCCCTCTCCTCTTCCCTGCTCTGGTGTGGGCAAGCGTCTCAACCTCTCTGTGCCTGCTTCTGTCTCTGGGAAAGGGTGCTAATAGCAGGGAGCTAGGGATGTTAATGTGAGGATATGATGAGGTAGAGAGATCCCACACCTAGTGGGTGCTCAATAAATAGAAAATTGGTTTTGAAAACAGGTAGATACTGAGAGAGGAGGCATTCAAGGGAGCGTCAGGATGGCATGGGAGGAGACATCCAGCCCCAGCCAACTACCCTCTCTTGGTATAACATTAAGCTAGCAATCTGGCCTCTCTGTGCTTCCCTTTCCCCTCATCTTTCAAACAGGAACAAAACTCCAAGTTCTGGCCTCCTGGAGGGCAAGGGTGTAAGATCAGAGCAGATAACAACCTCAGAAGGGTTCTGGAAGGTTCTGGAACGCCCCAACCTGGTACCCACAGCATCACTCACAAATATCTATTGGGGCCCAATGTGTTCCAGACATTGCGTTTGGTGCTAGGACTGAAAGGAACTATGGTAGAGCCAAGGAAAAGAGCATCCAAGAGAGGGGTGGGAAAGCGGATTCTAATCTTGGCTGGGTCCCTGACATGCTGTGTGAGCTTGAGAAAGTTGCTTTCGCTCTCTGGGCCTCATCAAAAGGAGGGGGGGGCGGTCTTTGTAATAGGAAGACCTCCTTTCAGATCCCTCCTCTGCTCCCTCCTTGCTGCGTGTCCTTGGGGGAATCTCTCCACTTCTCTGGGCCTCGGTTTCCACATCTGAAAAATGGGATTCAGTTATTCTGCAGTGGCTGTGAGGAGTAAATGAGATCATTCATTCACTCAATGGCTATCAATTCCGAGCACAGGGAAATACAGTGGGGATTAAAATGGGCAAGATCCTTGTCATTTTAAAGCTCTAAGCTTATAGTTAATGACAGATAATTAAGCATTAGTATCATCATAATTATATTATACATAAAGTTCTCCAGTATGTACTTATTACATATAAAGTGGCAGTGTTTGGCACAAAATAGATGTTCAGGAAACACTAGGTCATATTACTGCAATAGTTCCAGGACACACACTGCAAGATGCTCCCCTCTGTCACAGGGTCTGAAGTGTTAAAATGCCTGACCTTTGGGGTGATTCTCCCTCAGGACTGAGACCTTCATTAGGGATTCCCTGGCGGCCTCAGGTGGGGAGGGCAACCTGTGTGTGGTCCTGTTTGTGCGCTCTGCCCCTTCTGGGTAAATGCCTCCATTAATCTCCCCCTGCCTGGGCTTGAGGGTCAGGTTTCAGGGCTCCAGGCAGATGTTGTCCAGAGTAGCCCTGTTTCCTTAATCCTTGGGGCTCCAGGAACTGTCCTTAGAAGAGAGAACAACAGGCCTGCTGAGGCCACCATCTGTGCATTCTCGATTTGTAAATGCTCATGAGGGTGGCAGGAAGGAGGTCTCTATAGTAACGGCTGAGGAAGGGGCTGCGTGTGTGTGCCTCTGAGTGTGTGTGTGTGTGTGTGTGTGTGTGTGTGTGTGTGTGTGTGTAAGGCAGGGGACAGGGAGGAAGAATCATCCCAGACCCTTAACTCTCACTCCTAAACCTTTATTTCTGCCGTGATGAGCTATTAATTAATACTCACTGCTGGCTTATTATCCCCAGAGATAATTAGCTACTATTCCTAAATGGAGTCTCCTGGGGAACATTTTCTAAAGAGATTCATTCATTTCTGCCCACCTGCACCTGCCTGGGATACAGGCAAATGTTGCAGATCCTGGGGACCCAGGGAGAGAAAAATGAACAAAGGGGACTCTCCGTGAAGCTGAGATTCCCAGCGAGATGACAAGGGCAGAGCTCGAATTAGCAAGGGCACAGTAAGTGATTTTTAAATGCCAGCTATGATGATTCTATTCTGGAAGGTGGAATGGAGCCTCCTAAGGTGCCACTGTTTGCAAGAGAAAGTCACCCCATCTGATTAAATGGACCAGTCAGACCCAAAGGCAGGCAAAAGGAGGAAACATTCTGCAACCAGTGGTCCTGACTCCAAATGTGCCAAGTCCAGATTCTTTCCCGGCCTTTGCACATGCTGTTCCTGCTGTCAAGAACACACTTCCTGCAACTTCACCCAGCTCACTCCTCCTCAGCCTAAGGTCTCAGTTTAGACAGTGTTGCATCCTCCAGGAAGCCCTCCTTGATTTACCCCTCCTTCCTTGACCTGGATGGGGGCAGGTGACTCCCTTGGGTTCCCACAGTGCCCCAAATCTCCTCCATCACAGCTTTGTTCACTGGGAACTGTAATAGCCTGGGACTATCTATCTCTCTTACTATACATTTTGTCAAAGACTATGTCTTGTTCCTGGGCTTCACTGGTGGCTCAATGGTTAAGAATCTGCCTGCCAATGCAGGAGACACAGGTTCGAGCCCTGGTCTGGGAATATCCCACATGCTGCGGAGCAACTAAGCCCGTGTGCCACAACTACTGAGCCTGTACTCTAGAGCCCACAAACCACAACTACTGAGCCTGCGTGCCAAAACTACTGAGCCCATGTGCCACAACTACTGAAGCCCGTGCACCTAGAGCCCATACTCCCGCAACAAGAAGCCCCCACAATGAGAAGCCCTCGCACAGCAACGAAGAGTAGCTCCCACTCGCCGCAACTAGCAAGAGCCCACGTGCAGCAACTAGCAAAAGCCTGCGTGCAGCAACGAAGACCCAACGCAGCCAAAAATAAATATATATATATATATTTTTTTTAAAGACCCAATGCAGCCAAAAATAATTAATTTTAAAAAAGACTATGTCTTGTTCTTCTATACATACTATTAAGTGAAAAAGAGCATTTTGCAAGGTATGAATAGAATGCTTCCTTATGTATTAAAAAAAAGGAAGAGAAGAAAATGCATACTTATTAGGTGGCTGAAAAAGAAACTGACAATACCAAGTGCTGACGAAGATGTGGAGCAATTGGAACTTCCATCCACTGCTCACAGAAAGGCCAAACAGTGTGGCCACTTTGGAAAAAAAATTGGCAATTTCTCTTTTTTAAAAATATTTATTTATGTGGTTGCATCGGGTCTTAGTTGTGGCATGCAGGATCTAGTTCCCTGACCAGGGATCGAACCTGGGCTCCCTGCTTGGGAGCACAGAGTTTTAGCCACTGGACCACCAGGGAAGTCCCTTGGCAATTTCTTATAAAGTCAAACTTACCAGGTCACCCAGCCATCCCACTCCTAGGTATTTACCCTACAGAAATGAAAACATACTGTCCACACAAACACCTGTACTTGAATGTTTAGAGCAGCTTTATTCATTATCTCCAAAACCTAGAGATGTCCCTGAACCCATCACCCCTGCACTGGTGAATGGTTAAGGAAACTGTGCTCCATCCACATAGTGGAATGCTACTCAGTAATAAAAAAGGAGCTGATTCCCAACATACACAACAACATGGATGAATCTCCAACGTATTATGCTGGTGAAAGAAACCAGTCACAGAAAGTTGCACACCATGTTATTCCTTTTTTTTTTTTTTTTTTTTTTTTTGCAGCATCCCCCCATCCCCCTTATGTGATTCCATTTAAATGACGTTCTGGAAAAGGCAAAATTGTGATGATGGATATCAGTTACCAGGAATTATGGGTGGGGGAGGGGATAGACTACACACCCCCACCCCTAATTAGGGGGCAGTGGGAACTTTGGGGGATGATGGAACTGTTCTGTATCTTGATTATGGTGTTGGGTACATGACTATGTATTTGTCAAGATTTATAGAACTGGGGACTTCCCTGGTGGTCCAGTGGTTAAGACTCTGCACTCCCAATGGAGGGGGCCCGGGTTACATCCCTGCTCAGGGAACTAGATCCCGCATGCCGCAACTAAGAGCCCACATGCCACAACTAAAGATCTTGCATGCTGCAACTTAAAAGATCCTGCATGTCTCAATGAAGATCTTTTTTTTTTTTTTTCAATGAAGATCTTATACGGGGCAATGAAGATCCTGTGTGCTGCAACTAAGTCCCGGTACAGCCAAAAAAAAAAAAAGAAAAGAAAGAAAGAAAAAGATTTATAGAACTATACACCTAAAATTTATAGAACTATATACCTAAAAATGTGAATGTTACTGTATATAAATTATACCTTAATATGTCTGCTTTATGAATTCTTTAAAAGGTTAAAGACATAAAAGATGTGTGTGTAGGATGATGTATAAATTCGAATATGCATACAGGACCTCTGGAAGGGAACAGGGAACAGAATGGACATTGACAAGAACTTAGACCTTAGAGTCAGCAGACCGGGGTCCCCATCCCAGCTCCAGCCCCCACTCACTGCAGTCTGTGGAGAAGGGGTTTGTCTCTGCCACATCTGTAAAATGGGGCATTTTGTATCTGCTCTGCAGCTTGGAAGAATTGGCAGGAGAATCTCAAAATTCTAGGTGTAAAGACGTTCTCTGCTCTCCTGGAGGTATGAGGGGGAACCCCAAAAGAAGGCAATGTTGGGGGAAGTGGTGAGGACCGTGAACTTTGGAACCAAGAGTCAGAGCTGTGTTCAAATCCCAGCTTTGTTGCTTGCTCACTTGCTTTCCAGGTGGCCTTGGGTTAGTTTCTTAGCCTCTCTGGGCCTCAGTTTCCTCATCTGTAAATTGGGGACAACAATGGTATAGGTATCTTACGGGGTCGCCTTAGGAATACTTGGCACGTAGAGTGTTGGGCACAGAGCCCCGCACAGAGTAAAAGCTTGAGCAGGGAGAGAAAGAAAGGGGGAAAGGTTTTTCTGTGTTTGTGATCTGCTCCTGTCCTGAGTGACCAGACCCCTGGCCATCTCTCTCTGATTAAATCTATTACCACCCTTGACCATCCTCCAACACATCCATCAGGGCCGGTACCCCTGCCCCCAGGGCTTTTACACCAACTGTCCCTTCAGCCCCATATTTGTCCTTTAAATTTTCCCACAGTCATCGCCTCCCCACCTTTCAGGTCTCAGCTCAGATGGCCCCACCCCAGAGAGATCTTCCCCAACCTCCAGCCTAAAGCAATGTCCCTCTCACCAGCCAATCCCACTCTACCACAGGGGCCAGCAAACTGTGGGCCTTGGGCCAAATGAGCTGCACCTGTTTTTACAAATAAAGTTTTATTGGCACACAGTCACATTCATCCATTTATATATTCTCCAAGGTTGATTTTGAGCTACAACAGCAGAGGGGAGTAGCCACAAGAGAGACCGGCTGGCCTGCGAAGCTGAAAATATTTACTTTCTGGCCCTTCACAGAAAGTTTGCTGACTCCAGCACTATCACAATCCCCCAGTCTGTTTTTTTCATAGCCATCATCTCTGTGTGAGGTTATCGTGTTCCTTTGTTTACTTGTTTATTATCTTCTACACTAAATGGAGGCCAAAAATCACATCAGCTTGGTTCCCTGTTGTATCTCCCAGTGCCCGGCACATAGCTGACATTCAAAAAAATTTTTTTTGTGTGGAGTAAACGAATGCATAAAGTAGGCTTGGGCAGGGGGAACAGATCTGGCCAAATTTTTCCAGAATGTTGGAGGAGGAGGGGGCTTAAGAAATCCTGTAAACAAACTCTTGTTGTAAATAAGGGGGGGTCAGACCCTGTGTACACTGCACAGCCTTGTAGAAGACAGTGACGGAGCCAGATCTCAGGGTTGAAAGGAAGAGCCTGGGGTCTGAGTCTTCTTGTTACTACAAAGCCCACCCCTCTGCAAAAGAGATGGAAAACGGGACAATGAAATGCAATGCATAATTTTGAATTGGATCCTGGCTTGGGAAGAAATACCATAAAGGACAGGACTGGGATGACTGGTGAAACTGAAATATGGACTCTGGATTAGACAGTGGTGTTGTAACAACTTTAACTTTTTGGTTGAGATCGTTGCATTAAGTTGCATAGCAGACTTGATCTTGGGGAATGCGTGCTGAAGTATTTAGGATGAAGGGGCAGTTGTGTTTGCAATTTACATGATTAGAACAGAGGCAAAGATCTCTATAGAGAAAAAGACAAAGAGAAAGCAAATGTGGCCAAATGTTAACGATGGGTGGGTGAATCTAGGTAAAGATGATATGAGAGTTTATTGCCTTGTTCTTGAAACTTTCCTGTGGGTGTGAATTTCTTTTTAAAAAAATAGAAAGTTTTTTTTTTTTTTTTTTAAAGAGGGAAACAAATAAATGAGGCAGCCACCCCCAGGCTGCATTCCTGTTTCTTCCTCTTCCTTTTGTAGCAGGCTCCCTGCTCCTCCTTTGGAGGTGGGAAGCCAGAACTGGCCTCCGCATGGGAGGCAGGATGGAAGAATTAAACCAGAGCGTTTCAGACGAACTCCCACAAGTCACATAGCTGACAGTGAATTTGTTGAGTACCTACTATGTGTTAGGATCCCCTACAGCTTCTGCACGCATCATTATGGGTTTGATTGAACTTTCTCCCAGTGTGTGTGGATGGGGCTAATCTTTGGTTTGGCACTTTGCTGACAAACGCTAGGTACCTTATCTGATGCTCCTGAATCCATGGGTGATCTACAGGCAGCTCATTTGTGAGGTCAAATTCCACAAAATGAGCAGCTCCTTCATAGGACGTTCATACTAGGGACAGCACAAGCTATGACACAAATCCCTCTATTGTCACACATACTACATTTGAGCATAGTTATAACTTCATGTCTTCACCCCCCCTAAAGGCAAGATGGGTTGCTGAATTCATGTATATGTCCCTGGTGCCTAATACAATAAAAGTCTGTTGAGTAAATAAATGAGTGGAATGTCTCAGAAAATAATAAATAGCTACATTATTGGGAAACTTATCATGTTCAGATTATTTCTAGTGCCATGCCATGCTGCACTGGAGCCTGAGGCAAAAGGAAAAATTAGTAATGCCGATCCTGTCTTTACTGATAAAGTTTGGTATTTTGTTCATTGTGGATTTTTTGCAGTAATTCTGATTTCTTAAAACATTGCATTGAAATATTATTTATCTTGATTACTGAGGGGTTTTTTTGTAGCCCCTTAAATTTTGCACCTGAGGCCAGTGCCTCCCTCACCCTAGCCCCAGTCCTGATTATTTATTTCAACATGCAATCCACACCATATCATTAATTCCTCATCTCAATGCTCTGAGAAGTTACTACCATCATTGCCATTTCACAACTGAGGAAACTGAAGCACAAAGATGTTTGATTATACCCAAATACCCACAGCAAGGAGGAGAAAAATCTGAGTTTGAACCCAAGTTCGTGTGTTTTTTGGCTCAGACCCTGCTCCATAAAGCAAAACAATACACTAAGTTATGAGTTGGGTTCTGAATCAAGGAATCGAAAGATCTAGGCTAGAGTCTCACCTCGGCCCCAGCCTCCTCTAAGCCCTCCAGTCCCACAGACCTCAGTTTCCCTATCTGGAACTGGACTTAAATATTCTGCACTGTGCCGTTTTTACCCCAACACAGTTTACTAGCTTTCTCTCTCCTGATCCAGCAATAGCACAAGCTGGGGATGGGGAGAAGCAGGTACTGGCCAGCGTCCCTGAGCCAACACGGAGTTCAGAGACCTAGGAGGGGGTTAGACCCTGTGGGAAGACCCTGAGGAACACAATGAGCGTTCCCTCCCCCTCCAGAAAACCCCTAACCCAGGTTTTGGGCAGATGCCAGACTTTTATTCTGAAGCTGAGGCCACAACCTATGAGGTAATCTTTGGAATTGCATTCGAGGCGGAGTCCCATTGGAAGGCTGGCGAAGCCCCTCCCTGGGTTCCCGGCGCCCCGCCTCCCCTGAAGCCCATAAAAGCGCAAGTCCCCGCCTAGGCAGCCAGTGGACACCTGCATCTGCCTGCAAGACGGGAAGCAGGTGAGGCACACAGGGGAAGGGCCGAAGCCGCGTGGGGGGAGGGGTGGTCTGAGGGATCCGGGCCCCTGTGAATGGCGCTGGTTTGCAGGTCAGCGCATGGACAGTTTCCCAGAAAGCGACAAAGACTGTGAAGTTTGACGGTCTGGAAAACGGAGACCAACCGCGCTGACTACCTGGGAGGTAAGTTCTGGAAACATGCCACTAGGTGAGGAGAAGGTATGAGTCCTAGTTATTGACCTCTCCGTCTCTCCCCCGCCTTGTGCCGGGAGGCGCACCTGGAAGAGGATCGGAGGGGAAAGAATTGTAGTGGAGGGGAGTTCCCAAGAGGGAGAAGAACAGAGGGGACTAGGGTGAGCTGGGGAAGAAAGGGAAGCAAATCAAGTTTTCTTCAGCACCGAGGTTGAGGACAGCTCTCCGACCAACAAGGAAGGAAACTGCTATTTATTTCAGCACCGAGACTCAGGACAGCGCCGCTCGGGGTCCAGGAAGGGAGCCACAATCTGCTTCAGCACCAGGGCTCCGGACAGCTCCTAGGGGGTTCCCGGAGCCGACTTCATTTCAGAACCAGGACACTGGACAGCTTCCCTGGTACCGGGAAGCCCCTGTCCCCTGACGGGGGAACAGAGGGTGGTCTGAAGTGTCTGACGTTTCTGGAGACTTGACCCTCATTTAATGGATCTTTCAACGAATTGTTTTCCAGATAAGCAGGTGAGATGAAACCGCACACAGAAAAAAATCTGTAATTCCCAACAGGTGAAATGGCCAATCCGTAGGACGGAGTGGGGACAGGCGCCTGCCAAGATGGCATTACTGTGCTCTTTCCAGACTTCTGTGAGAAGCATTGTGCCAAGCATGTTACATACATTATATCATGCCATCTTCAGCCCCAGGACATGGGTGTTATTACACTCAGGTGACAGGTGAGGAAACTGAGACCCAGAGAGGGGCAGGGACGTAAGAAGCCCAAGGGCTCTCAGCCCAAGGGTGAAGCTGCAAGTCAACCCCACATTTGTCCAACTCCAAAATCCATGTTTCTGATATGGCTGGGTGGGAGTTGGGCCCTTGGAGATCAGACCCTGCCTCTCTCCAGGAGGACCAGGAACAGGAAACAGGGGGCAGTGGAGAACAGGTGTTATGGCTTAGCTCAGGTGAGGGGAAAGAGCTGGGTGGGGATCTCAGACGTGGGGCAGACGGTGGCGAAGACGACTGGAACGGTTGTGGTCTAGTGCTGTGTGGAAGACTAGTGATTTTGTTGTTCTGATGTACTATGACAACAAGTCACAGCTTCCTCATAGCGTGGACTCCCGTCGACCCCCGCCCAAGACGAACAAGCAAGTGTGAGGGCTGGGGGCTCAGGGAGGAATCACTTCCACCCAGGGGTTGGGTTGACTAATTCCACAGAATAAAGGCAGGGGAGGGAACAGAATAGGGGCATGCACCCCATGAATACACAGCAGTGTGTGGTGTTGGCCATGTCACTCCTATGCCCCCACGGGCCTGGAACTACAAAATATCTGACTCTGAACCCAGGACTCTTAACCATCTCACTACACTTTCCTGGAGGATCAATGAGGGAACAACCTTTGAAGGCCTCCCTAGATCAGGATTCTGGGGAGACTTTTCAATAAAAGTTCTGTGGAATGATTTTTTTTCTCCCCCCACCCTACCATCAGTTCCATGGACCAATTACAGAACACGTGTAAACTTGCGTCTAGTAGGTGGGCTGTGGCATCATCAAGGCTCACCCCCAATTCTCTGTGACACCCTAATCAAGTCACAGACACGACATTCGGCTCAGCCCAGCCTACGAACAGCCTTTGCCTTTGTTGTTCCCTCAGCTTGGAATGGATGCCGCCACCCCGAGTGCCCCATGGCACATTCTGCCTCCTCATCCAAGTCTCATTTCATCGAGGGAAACTTTCTTTGTTGCCTCACCTTTCCCCACGTCAAGTCTACATTAGACATTCTCATAGACCCGGGATATCTTCCACCTGGCACTTAGTCTAATTATTTTTGTGTTACTATTTACAGAACTGTCTCCCCCATGATACTGTGAGCTCCATGAGGGCAGAGACTGTGTTTGTATTTTCACTGCTGAGTCCCCGGCACCCAATCCAGGGCCTGGTACACAGCAGGTGCTCAATAAATATTTGTTGACTCAATAAAGGCATAAGGGAATAAACCAATACATCAATCAATAAGTGAATTGATGGTTTCGGCGCACGAAGACCCTACTTCTCCTCGGTCTCCCCCACAGAGATACCACAGGGTGATGGTTGATGCAGGTGTTTATTGGGAAGTATAATTAAATTTGTGGACACTCAAGGGCCGGCCAACCAACTAATGCCCCAGGAGACAGCCAGACTCGTTTAATTAGCAATTATGAGGCATTGATTCCTCATTAGCTCTGGCAACCCCTGTCTCCCTCCTCAGCCCCAGACAAACGAAATCTTTCTCTCTCCCGGGAGTACTGCCTCAGTGGGTCCATTAACAAGCAGAGAAGATATGATTACAAGACACCTAAATGCCAGAGGCTCTTCATGAACGAGGAGCGGAGAGAGAGTCCAACATCTGGGTTAAGGCTAACTGTGAGAGGCTTTCTGGTATATTTAGAATTGTTCTCTGGGAATGGGAGCGCTTTCAGATACGAAAAGGCACCCAGATACTGCCCTTTAGGGACACCAATGAAAGAGGAGGTTCTGCCCTGGTATTTTTTTTTTTAATCTTATTTATTTATTTATTTTATTTTTGGCTGTGTTGGGTCTTCTTTTCTGTGCGAGGGCTTTCTCTAGTTGCGGCGAGCGGGGGCTACTCTTCATCGCGGTGCGCGGGCCTCTCACCGTCGTGGCCTCTCTTGTTGCGGAGCACAGGCTCCAGACGCGCAGGCTCAGTAGTTGTGGCTCACGGGCCTAGTTGCTCCGCGGCATGTGGGACCTCCCCAGACCAGGGATCGAACCCATGTCCCCTGCATTGGCAGGCAGACTCTCAACCACTGCACCACCAGGGAAGCCCCCTGGTATTTCTATGAATATCTTTCCCTAGGTGTCTCACCATCACTCCAAATTAATAATGTCAAGGTGAACGCCCAATCCACCCAAGCCCCAACTTGCCCCTGCCCTCCATGCCCCCATCATGCGGCAGGCTCTCCACATTCCAGAGACCCTCCCCCTTCCATATTCTCCAAGGCAAGTCATTCTCATCAAATCTGTCCTCTTCTCCAGCCCCCTACCTCCATCACTGCCTGGTCGTCTCATAGTCTCTTCCCTCCTCCCCCAAAACACACACACACAGCCAATTCATTCGCCACATACAGTGAGGGGTCTTTCTAGAACACAAATCTGATCAAGTCCCACCCTTGCCTTCAACACTTCCAAGACTCCCACTGCCTGCAAGATAAAATTCAAATATCCTCACACAACTTGCATGATCTGGCCCTTCCGTGCTGAGCGTAATTGCCTATCATTTCCCCCACCAGCGACACTCAATAACTAGCTCACTCACGACCATCTCTTGCTTGAATTCTCCAATATTTAAAAAAATTTTTTGGCCACGTCACACGGCATGTGGGATCTTAGCTCCCTGACCAGGGACCGAACCCACAACCCCTGCATTGGAAGCACAGAGTCGTAACCACTGGACTGCCAGGGAAGTCCCCGAATTCTCCAATTTTATTTATTTATTTAAAATTTTATTTGTTATTTTTGGCTGTGTTGGGTCTTCATTGCTGCGCGCAGTCTTTCTCTAGCTGCGGCGAGCGGGGGCTACTCTTCTACTATTCACTGCGGTGGCCAGGCTTCTCTTGTTGCAGAGCACAGGCTCTAGAGCGCATGGGCTTCAGTAGATGTGGCGCGTGGGCTCAGTAGTTGTGGCTCGCGGGCTCTAGAGCACAGGCTTAGTAGTTGTGGTGCACGGGCTCAGTTGCTCCGCAGCATGTGGGATCTTCCCGGACCAGGGCTTGAACCCGTGTCCCCTGCATTGGCAGGCGGATTCCTAACCACTGTGCCACCAGGAAAGCCCTCTCCAATTTTATTATGAGGATGATTCCCCTACGAAAATCATAGAGAATGCACATTCCAGGGCCCTCTCAGTTTCAATAATCCAGAGGTGAGGCGGGCCAAGGAATCTGCATTTTGACCAGCTTCCCCACTGATTGTCATTTAGGGGAATCCTTCGTTTAAAAAAAAAAAAAACCTCCGATCTTTTATTCTCCCATAGACCACTGGGGGGCCGGGAACCTCAGTTAATCTCAGCAGTTTGATCTCTGTACCCACCCCCATGCCCAGCTCAGTGCTAGTACCTAATAAGTATTCAGTTGAGATGTAAATGCTGATGCCTGAACCCCTTCATCAGACACAGGAGCATGGAGGCCACAGGCACCTGTAAGGAAGAGCCATCACCCTCAGAGGTGCTGTGGACAACTGAACTGAAGGTACAACCCATGGAGCTATCTTATTATCTGGTCAGTGTCCAATTATCTTAACTTGGGAAATCCATGAAAGTAGAGTCTGAGACAAGTCTGGTTTATTTGGAAGGTGGTCCCAAGAAAGCAGAAGTGAAGAAACCAGAGAGTGAGGCAAAGAAGGAGGGAACATCAATATATAGGGAGATAGTGGGGTTACTCTAACAAAGTGGAAGTTTATTTTCTTCCCTTTTTTTTTTTAAGGCCAGGTAACTTTCTTTTAATTTAATTAATTAATTAATTTATTTATTTATTTATTTATTGCGGTACACTGTTGTGGCCTCTCCCGCTGCGGAGCACAGGCTCCGGACACACAGGCTCAGCGGCCATGGCTCACGGGCCCAGCCACTCCACGGCATGTGGGATCTTCCCGGACCGGGGCACGAACCCGTGTCCCCTGCATCGGCAGGCGGACTCTCAACCACTGCGCCACCAGGGAAGCCCTTCTTTTAATTTTAAATAAATTTGGCTGCACTGGGTCTTCGTTGTTGGGTCTTCACTGCTGCACGTGGGCTTTCTCTAGTTGCAAAGAGGGGGGCTACTCTTTGTTGCGGTGCGCGGGCTTCTCACTGCGGTGGCTTCTCTTGTTGCGGAGCAGGGGCTCTAGGTGTGCAGGCTTCAGTAGTTGTGGTGCACAGGCTCAGCAGTGGTGGCTCACAGGCTCTAAAGTGCAGGCTCAGCAGCTGTGGCACATGGGCTTAGCTGCTCCGTGGCATGTGGGATCTTCCCGGACCAGGTCTCGAACCCATGTCCCCTGCATTGGCAGGTGTATTCTTAACCACTGTGCCACCAGGGAAGTCCCTATTTTCTTCCCTTTGACTCAGCAGTTCTATGCCTGGATCTACACAGAAGGGAAAAGAATATCTATTTCCACAGAGCAAATTTTACAAAAACAGTCACAACAGCTTTGTTGGGAATAGCCAAAAACTAACTGGCAAATGGATAAACAAACTGGTATATCCACACTATGGGCAAGAAAAAAAAAGAAGGGAACAAACTGATGATACAAGCGGCAGCCTAGATGACTGAAGGTCATGCTGAACAAAAGAAGTTGGACACGAAAGGATACATACTGCATGATTCCATTTATATGGCATTTAAGAACCGGCAGGGAATTCCCTGGGAATTCCCTGGCGGTCCTGTGGTTAGGACTCCGCACTTCCACTGCAGGGGGGCACGGTTGGATCCCTGGCCAGGGAACTAAGATCCCGTAAGCCATGCGGTGTGGCAAACAAACAAACAAACAAAAACTGGTAAAACTAATGTATGTTGATAGAAATCAGAATTTTGGGTGCCCCTGGGGGATGGTAGGAATCAACCGGAAAGGGGTCCGTGGGAACTGTTTAGGGTTCTGAAAACATTATCCATCTTGATTAGGGTAGTGACTATATGGGTGTCTACAATTGTCAAAAATCATTGATCTGTACACTTAAGGTCTATGCATTTTACTATATGAAACATCCAACTCCTCTTTTTTTATTTTTTGATTGTGCCAGTTGTGGCTCCCAGGATCCTTAGTTATGGCAGTTGGGCTCCTTAGTTGTGGCTTGCAGGCTGCTTAGTTGTGGCATGCGAACTCTTAGTTGCAGCATGCATGTGGGATCCAGTTCCCTAACCAGGAAACAAACCCGGGCCCCCTGCATTGGGAGTGCGGAGTCTTAACCACTGCACCACCAGGGAAGTCCCCCCAGCTCAACTTCTTTAAGTAAAAAAAATGTAATACATTTATTTTATGTCACAAAACTGAGTGTACGCAGTTCAGGGCTGGTATGGAGCTCCATGATGGCAGGACCTGGACTCCTTCTATACTGTTGCTCTGCTATCCTTAGTGTGTCACATTCATCCCCATGGTGTGCTGCGCCATTTGTTAAAATACTGTCTATCTTTTATACCGCCAGATATGCTCAGATAAAATTTGGGGGTTCTAGTGCTGTGAGAAAGAAGGGAAGAACAGTTTTTGAGGACAGCTGGCAATCTCTGCCACAGATATCTCAAACAGTTGTAAATCCACCCAATGTTGCTCACGTTTACCAAGCCAGTTTCCACCTGAGACCTCCTACAAGCCTGTATATCCAGGTTCATATTTCAAAATAGAGTTGTAAGCTCTTGAAGAGGGAAGGCGTACGAATGCGTAACATGGCAGAGCTAGTGGGTAGAGTTACCTAAAACACACCCATGTCCTGGCGGCTGCTTCAAGACCCTGGAGAGACAGACAAGGACAGAACAAATAAAACAGACAATCCAGCCCACAGTGGCAGCAACACAGTTCCAAAAGGTAAAAGCAGTTGTGAGAAGACGGGATTTGAAATATGGAGTTATCCACTACGGGAATGAAACGCCTCAGAGGATCATGGGGGGCATATGAGATTGTGCTTTTGAGGCACTATCTGGGTTGAAAGTTAAAATTAGTCAACTTTGGGCTTCCCTGGTGGCGCAGTGATTAAAAATCCGCCTGCCAACGCAGGGGACGGGTTCGATCCTGGTCCGGGAAGACCCCACGTGCCGCGGAGCAACTAAGCTCATGCACCACAACTACTGAGCCTGCGCTCTAGAGCCCGTGAGCCACAACTACGGAGCCCACGCGCCATAACTACTAAAGCCTGCGTGCTCTAGAGCCTGCATGCCGCAACTACTGAAGCCTGTGCACCTAGAGCCCGTGCTCCACAAGAGAAGCCACCGCATTGAGAAGCCCGCACGCCACAATGAGGAGTAGCCCCTGCTCTTTGTAACCAGAGAGAGCCCACATGCAGCAATGAAGACCCAATGTAGCCAAAAAATAAATTAAAAAAAAATAATAATAATAATTAGCCAACCTTGGTGCCTGTTTCTTGGCATCATAATAAGTCTTTGTAGGATGGTGAGGGTTAGAGACCCACATGCAATGTTTTGGGCACCAGGAAGGTGGATGCTAAAATAATTTCTATTCTGTGATGGGCAGTGGGGCAGGGAGGTGAAGGATGCTGAGCAGGGCCATTGGTCAAGTGCTTCTCCTCTCTCAGCCTCAGTTTCCCTGTCTGTAAAGTGGGGTGATTATGGCCTCTCTCTTCAGGCTGTTGTAAAGATCAAGGAGATGGTGTATGTATGTGCATGGCACCACAGACAGTAAGTGCTCAGGAAATGATGATGACAAAAGTATAAAGGTGAATAAATAATGGATTGATAGATAAATGAGAAGGGAGGAAGGAAGAAAGGAAGAGAAGGAGAAAGGGAGGGAGGAAAGATGGAAGGAAAGAAGGAAGGGAGGGAGGGACCCATTTCTGAGGCCCTGGACAGAGGCTGGTCAGTTCCTCTTGAGAAACTGCCTAAGTCCACACCTGGAC